TGTGTGCATTAATATAATATATTGCAAGAGAAGACAGGAAGTAGTAAGAAAGGTTTTGACAATGGGTATTCCAATGTAAAGAGCATTGAGCTATTTTTTGTTGTTGGAAATGCGCTATATAAATGTCATATATTATTATTATTTATTATTATTTATTATTATTTGTGGATGCATTGTTTTGTGTTAACAAATACTAAGTGACGATTTTCAATGTAGCGTTAAAATACCCGTAGGCCTACTTTTTTTTCTTGAGTAATTTGCTTAGCATACATAGATCTATTTCAATTTTCTTAGCAGAGTGAAATCAAACAGTTAGGCAATAACACTTTAATCACCCTTCTATTCATTAAAAAGAATTCACCAGAAGCCCAAGACAGGCAAAAACATTTAATAGCATCAAAGACAAAATGCAAATTTATTCTCACCACAACGTTATCACATAAGTATTGACTTTCACCCTGTTCGAATTCGGGGTATTGTATGTTTAAACTATCAATGATAATCGTGGCCCAGCACGTGGCAAAGCCACTGACGTTGTCGGAATGAGAAAGTCAAGCCATAAAACTGACTCAAAGTTTGTTTAAAGATACGGCGAATCCTTTCAACAGTCACTTTGTGGAACTTTCTCACGTTCTTTAAACATTTTTATAATACGTCTTATCTGAAAGACCAACAAAGTACCATTTTCATAACACAGGTTTACAAAAACCTTTGTTTAACTCCCTTTTGAGGATAGGGAGACGTCATAATTGGGTGACCCTGTTCAAAGTTTTAGATTTTAAACCTCAGTATGAATTTTTATTTATTTTAGAATATCCTTCTTTCTTGTTTCTCTGACAAGTAAAAGAACCTCTGATCTAACGTTATACTTTCCGTTTATTCACTCGACCACATTGTTATCTGTTCTTCGTAGCCTTACATGATAGCCTACTGTATGAGCATGGCATATGATAATTATTATTATTTTGCATTGGCCTCTTGACCAACTATTGGGAACTATGTGGACTGGATATAGTGACAACAGGGCAGCACCCAGACAAACAGCAGCATGGCCAACATTATAATTATCAGAAACAGCACGGTCTGTCAAGCAAGGCCAAACAACTTTTCCATTGTTCAAAATTGTTAGAATGTAACACCAGATTCGTGCTCGCTTTCCCTCCTCCGTATATATTTTTTTTCTCCCCTTAATTTTTTTCTTTTTCCTCCCTAGCTTTTGCTCGCACTATTTGCACGTGACTGCCATTAATTAATTTGTATTTACACAACTATATAATATCTATCTATCTATCTATCTATCTATCTATCTATCTATCTATCTATCTATCTATCTATCTATCTATCTATCTATCTATCTATCTATCTAT